TCTGTAGTATTGTGTCCTTTAGTTTAATTATCGTGTCCGATGCAGCTGAAAATTTGCAATATCTGACAAAAGATTTTCTCCTCATTCTAGCGTTGCCTTTCTTATGCAGATTCTTTGCCATCTCCTGTTACTTTCAAACTTACCTTCAGCCTTCTCTGCTGCCAGGGCCCAGATTTGCCCTTTGCCCTTCTGCCTGTTTTAATGAAAGCTGTAAGAAATTAAAAAGTTTCAAGACCTCTGCCTCTGTCAAATACACCTGAGATTGGCCAGCGATTAACAAGGTGCAGGGCAGAGGTGATGCTGTGGCAGCTGCTAAAGCTCTCTTGCCTTGAAACCAGTCCAAAAACCAGAAGAATTTGAGTGAGTTAAGTGTTGTCAAAGCTATGGGCCTTTCTGACCTTGTAAAGCTAGAAAATAGGTGTCCAGATAAAGTGTCCCTAGGATCCAACATCTAAAGTACATCCACAACAGAAGAAGCATGAGCCTGACTTCATCTTGGGGAAAATCCCCTTAATTTCCCAAAAGGCTGATGTTGAACTAACCTCTGGCATGAGTTGACCGTGGTAACCCTGGTTTGAGCCCCTTACTGCAGCATGGTGTCATGAGGAATTGTTAATAAGAAGTTTTGGGGTTCTGTTTATCTTTTTTGTTTCCCTGATACCCTGACAGTGAGGTTAAATGGAGCTTCCCATGGGTTAAGTTGATTTTTATACCATTAAGTCACATGCCTTTTTAATTAACTGTGTGGAGTTATCGAATTGGTTAATGCTTTATGACAAGTCTTACCAGCCTTGTGCTACGGGCAGTTACACAGAGCTGCTAAAGGGGAAGGACTCGGTGTGACACATCCCGAGGTTTGGCCACATTTGACAGCAATTAACTTGTAGCCTCCCATGACTTTTGTCCATATGCTTTTCTTGTCGTGGCCCAGGATTTTAGTGTTTGTGAACAGCTGGCAGTCTGACCTGCTTTCACTGCCAGATTGTCTTGTGGGTTGTGGGCTGGGGTTTTTATTTCCTTCTATTCCATAAGTTAACTTTCTGATCCTTTCCAAGCACGCTTTGCTTGTTTCCCAGGTCTTCTCTGTGCACACATGAGCCACCATGTGAGCTATTTCCTGTCCATTTTGATTTTTATTATTGTATCTTACACTCTGCATGTATGTTTGGCATCAGATGAGTGCCAGGACAGTAGGTAAATAAAAGTTCTGAGTGGTTTGGGAAGTCCTCTTGCTTCTGAGATAGAAATCATTACATCTGACTCCCCCTTCTGCCCCAAGAACAGTATCTAACCCCTGTTTTGTAGCAGGTACCCGTGGTAATTTTTTGTGTCTTTCTGTGACATGCTCTTCTCTACCTCACATACTAAATATTTTCAGAAAGCTGTATAGAACCACGCTACAGTTTTTAGCTTTATCAACAAACTGCATTTTAGTGGCAATCCAGCTTTCATGTCACCAGGCATCCTCACCAGCACCTGCCCAGAGTGTGATGTTTGGATGAATTAAAAGTTGATGTGCACAACGCAGGGTCCTTTGTAGTTTTGCTTTGGGCAGCTATGCTGATGGGAAGGGCAGAGTGATTCAGTGATTTTCACTCATCGCTTCTGAAATACTTTTGATGTCACCAACAAGAAGAAAAAGCAATGGTTAAATACTGCAGTGGTCACAGTGTCAAGGTGCAGATTGCTCATTAGAAGAGTTTTACATAAGAGCCCATTTGCTTCATGTATTATTCATTTCAAGGGTGTTCTCTGGACATAGTTCTGTAGCTGAGGCAGAGTTTTTTCACTGAGAAACTTTGATGGAATCAAGATCAGCTTGATTTAATGAAGTAATAGATGCAGAGCTGATGTGCATACAAAGATGTTGGATTTCCCAATGCACATATCTAAATATCTAATTTTTGTAGCACAGAATGGTGGCTCCAGAGGATAGAAAGGAACATAAAACGATGAGAAGCAGTAGACAGCAGCAGTGGTGTGAAATCATTGCCCTGCAGACAGGAATGTGTTACAAATTTCTACAGAAAAATATATTTCAAGGCTGGAGCTTGTATTCATTCCCATGTAGTTGCAAACAGTAATAAGCATGTTTTATGAATGCTGACCTGTTAAGAATTTGTGGGGGAAGTTATGGTGCAAGCTCTTCTTTCACCAGCTTCTTTTCAGTGCTCCATGTGTAGCAATGAATCTTCCTTGAAAACAACAAATGTCTTTTTATTCGAAGATATTATAAAGCTTCAAGCCAAATGTCAGGCTTCTCATTTCACATTATAAACCCAGACGCAATTGTTGTCGTAATCCAAGCAAACACAGGATTCAACATTAAGTTACTTGTATCCTTATTTACACCTTTTAGTTTTGTCTTTTTTGCCCAAGAACCAGAAGCACAGCCGATTTGTGCATCCACCTGGAGATCTGGCAATGCAGAATGAGCTAAAAAAAGTAATGTTAGCTGTTTGCTAATGCGTTTCTGTCACCGGTACAAAAATTAGTCTCTTTTCCAGAAATTAGTAGAAAGAATGGTGAGGGTTGCCTTACTGAGTGCCTGAAACGTCAGTGGAATGATTGGGAAACATCAATGGAATGATTTTTAAGTCTGTAGCATCATAACGGGTGACACGATTCAGATTCTCTGGCAGTTGTTGAAAAGTGCTCGGGTCAGTGAGGGAAGATCGCGTACAGTGCTCTGTGCTGCATGCTTGTTGGGGAGATGTGGGCCGTGGGTTGGCTGCTTTCATACTCATGATTAAAGAACTGTGCAAAACCAGGGGTCTAAAACCAACCTTGGAATTGCAAACTTAATTTTGCTTTGAAGATGACTTTCAAACCTGTTTTCTTTAAATGTAGCCTTGCTAGGAACACTTCTACACAAAGTAGACACTTCAAGTTTCTACCCACTTCCCCACCCTGGGAAGTGAGAGGTTGGGCAGACAGGCTGCTGTGCGGTGATACAGGATGTTTAGGGGGAAAGGCAGCGCTGTGCCATCCTGCTGGCCACTCTGCACTCGGTCTCTTCTGGCACCTTTTTGTAGCTCATGCATAGGTTTCTCTTCCACAAAATCCCACTATTAATACAGATCTTTCTCTCACCAGCGGCCCTTTCCCCCTGTCCTCCATCATTTTTCTACAGAGAGCTTGCTTCCTGGAGGGGTTTCCCACCAGGAGCTCAGCAGTGGCAGTGGGGAAGGTATTTTGCCCCAGGATCCTGTGTAGCAACGCATAAGGGCCTCCAGGTGAAGTTACATGTAATATCTCCCCTTTGACGCTTTGTGGGGGTTTGCATTTCAGTTTTACGAAAACAAACATGCCGGCTTTCCTCCTTTTTTCTCAGGAAATGGAAGGCAGAATGGGGCACAAAAATCGTCAGCCACAGAAATTGCACTTTCCCAGGCTCAGCTGTCCTCATTTATTTATGTCGCAGGTGACGCGGTAGCTCGGGCTGATGCCTTGTCCCGCTGGCGAATGGCTCCACGGAGTCCGCCGGTGGGAATCGGGGCTGCCAGGATTCCTGGCGTTTCCAAGGATGTTTGCCAAATCGCCTCCGCCGGGTTTTTACGCTGTCAAAGCTGATCGTGTTCTCACTGAGGTAGCGGTGGAAGGCTTCGAGGTATTTTTCGGAGAGCTAGCCAATTGGTTCTCTTGCTGACTTGCACTTGGCAGGTGAAGTGGTTTTAGTTAAAGGGAAAAAAAAGCCTGGCTACTTCTTCTAACGAAGGGGGAAAGAATCCATGACTAATTTTTGTAACAGGGGTAACTCCTACATAAAATCATGATGGAAATAAGCAGCGAACTCAGTAGTTACGATAAATCCTGTGGCATGTCGTGGTCTTCCAGCCCATTTAAATACTGCATCTTTTTGAAGTGGGATTTTTCAGTTATTCTCTTAGTTTTCTGTGGGGTTTTTTTTTTTTCAATTCCTAATTAATTCATTTATAAAGGCTTACAGCTTGCAATGGGAGGGAGGGGAGAATTTGAGCACTTTCCCATGGGAAAGTAAACAGAGCTTCTCAAAAAGATTTTTTTTTCCAAATCCAGTAATTTTCTTAATCGTTATTTACATGCTTAAGATAAGGCAGCATTTTATCAGTATTTCTTAGTATATGTAAAGTGTTTCATGTTTTTTAATACAGATTTTAATGCACATTTCGTAATGTATAAGAGGGTGCCGTTTCTGTCTAGTGAATGCAAATGAAGTTAATGCCGAGGAGTGACTGCATTCGATCTGCTTAAGTAGATTAGGGTAATTAAATTTTGAGAGAATCACTTCCTTATTGGATGCTTTTGGGAGCCTTGTGGAGAAGGGTGTTCACACGTCTTGGAACTTCACCGCGCCTTACGGAGAGACCAAAGTGGGTCCTTCCTTCTGCTGGTTCTGTCACCGCTTGGAACGTGGTGACCAAGGATGGGATTTTGGGGAAGACAGAAATGTTGCTGGCTAAATAAAATCCCAGTATTTCGTATGGTGCTGGGTTGTACATACAGACACCTCCCTTGTCAGGTCCCATTTTGCCTTCTCACTGTTATTAGAAGTGGCAGAAAAGGTGTGTAAATGATTGTAGTGTTGGAGCTGTGTGTTGAAAAGCTGGAAAGAACAAGTTAAAGCTTTAGCCGGTGTGGGAAAGCGTCAAGTCGCGTGTCACCGTGCTGGTGCTCCACATTAATGCAGCAGGCTTTGCTTATGTGGAACAAAAGGCTTTTAATTATTGCAGGGTTTCTGCCTATCTGTATAGAGAAATTTCTCATAAAACCAGCAGCTGGATTTTTAATTAGGAAAACCTTCATAGAAAGTCCTTACAGAAATAATAAGCTTATTTAATTCTGTTAGAGGAGTGCAAAGGGATGGGGGGGGAATTCTTCAAATATCAAAATTTCCTTTTTGTTTAAAGAAAGTAATTAGATATTTTTTCTTCCCATGAAGCATTTCTAATTTTTTAACTCTTCCACAGAATCTTTTTATACTTGCTTAAAAAAAAATCCCCAAAACTTTTCTTTTTCAGAATTTTGACCCCAGCCAGTAGTTTCCAAGATATTTGGACCCTCTATAACTTCCTCATAAGCAACGAGGTACGAAGTTTTCTTTAATGTTGTGTCAGATACAGTTCAGCTACACGTTTTTATTTTGAAGTAGTTCTGAGGGTAGCTGTCTTATCATTGGATTTTGGAGATTTTTTCGCACTGATTAGAACATTGGACATAAAAATGTATTTTTGGTTGGGACCTACCAAAAGTCACTCGAATCTCTACCGGTATTTGAGCTGCTTGCGTGACTTTCTGAGCATTCCTTTGATGTAAATGACTCGCTGTCGAGTAAAGAGCCTCAAAGTCACAAAAACCTCCTTAGCTTAGTCATATTAAGAAGAGAGAGGGTACATTGCATTAGGTATTTCTATGGAGAATATCAGCTGCAGTTCAGAGAAAAGAAAAGATAAATTGAAATCACCAGTTATTTGTGAAGTTTAACTAATCAGTGCTGAAAGATTTTGAGAAATTGAAATGAACATTAGCAGTAGAATAGAGGTATTGTTCCATTCAGCATGTTATGTATTTCAGATTTGCAGTCCTATTCAGGCAAATACGTTTGGGTTTTGGGCCTGTATGTATGTGAGTCAGAATTTCTTTTGCTATTACAGGGTAAATTAAGAGGGAAGAAAGAATTATTTAATGTCTTTCAGATTGGTGCAGTGATACTGACCACTTCCATTATATACTCATAAATACTGTCATAATGTACTGATACGTATTGTCAGTTTGTAATATTTGGTCTTATAATGCATAGCATGATTTTTTTTGGTACTGTCTCACCTTGAGAGCCTGTTAGGTGATACCTTAACCATGTCTTAGATTAGCTGTGTAATTTTAATTGACGTGTGATACTTTGTAAATAAACACATCAATTCTTTGTTCTCTGTTTTAGATAAACAGCAGTATAAAATTCACTGCTGAGGAGCTTTATGAGTGTGTTTCACAGAAGATATATCGGTAAGCTAATTACTGACACATCAGATGGGCTTTGAGGCAGCATTTTAGCATGTTCTGTATTAACCAAAGTTCCTGTAAGGGAAGTGCTTTGGATAAATAAAAGAACACTGTTGTAGGAGGGGCGTGTAGGGCAGTGAATGGGAGTGTTTTCCTCTTGAAAACATACAAAGCAAATGAAGCCTTGCTTCAACTACTGGCAAACGTTTTTACTTCAGCCTCGCTTCGGAATTCTTGGGGAGATAAATTCCTGTCTAGAACATTTGTAGTCTGACTGTTCCTTTTCCAGGATACCCCAAAGACACTCTCATCTTGACGTTTTGATCCAAAGGTCGTGGGTTTTTTAAATCTGGAGAAGGAAAAGGAATACTTAGAGCTAAATAGCCAAAGCTCCACACTGTGTTCGTGTCCCTGAGCAGTACCACAAGCTTTTGTATCCTCGTAGCGTTTAGAAGACGCTAGATAGGGTGTAGGGTCCAGATCTCTAGCATGTAAACAGAGCAAAAACCCTCCGTGGGTACCTCATGTGCCGAGGGGCTGTTGGGAAGGTGCGAGCAGGCAGGAGGGATGCGCAATACCGCATAAGTTTGGCATCTCTTGCCCATCATGCTTGTACAAGCAAGAGTGGAAAAATCATTACTAATTGTTTAAAATAATTTTTACATAAGCATGAGGTCATTTTTAAACTCTTAAAAATTCAGCTGCCTTGTCTGTGGTCGATTTTTGTGGTTTCTCCCTGAGTGCAATAGCAAGTATGTTTGCAAAATCCTCTAACTAAAGGATAGAAATTAGGATTTTGGAGTTTAAATGGAAAAACAGGAGCAGATATTTTGGCAGTTTTATAGCTGGGAAAAAGTCAACCGTGCGGGGAAGACTGGTCATTGCAGGATACAGCTCGCAACACGTTATGATTAGGCAGCTCTGTAACTTGATCTTTTGCTATCAAGATAAAAGTATGTCTGGATTTCCAGAGGTACCGAGTATTCTCTGCTTTTGATAGAGGTAAAATGTGGTATTAGAATGCCTTTGAATTTTGCTTTAAAGGAGTATACGGCAACATTCCCATCTCTAGAATGGGTCTGTTGTGTCCTGATAACCTCTGTCTTTTCTTCCCCAGGGAGAGGTTGGAAGTGGGGTGCTGCCAGCTAGCCCAGCTGGAACACACCATCAAGCAGTGTCAGGCATCAGTTCATGCAGAGGCCAAGAACAGGGGCTGGCTGTGACACCCCCTGCAGTCTCCTTGTCCATGTGAAGTCCAACTCCTCTGAGATGTGTCAAGGGAAATATACTTATCAAGGAGCCAAAACCCTGCCTTCTTTTTTTCTTGATGGTGTCATTTTCGATTTGAGTTGCAGGAAAAAAAACCCCAGCAAACAACTGGTTACATGTGCACGTTAAACGTCAGAATTTCTGCTAAGAACCACAGGCTAGTGGATTTTTGTCAGGCGAGAGGCTCTGGAGCAGTACAGCTGGTTTGCTGTGCAGCAATGCACCAGGCTGGTGTTCTGACCTCCGGATATTCATGTTAGGAGCTGTCGTGGTTTGACCCTGGCCGGCAG